CCATCGACAAGGCATTGCACGACACAACACAGCACAATGCCGCGCGATAGCACACAGCTGTAAGCAGCTGTGCAGCGCAAGTAGGTCGGATGGGGTAAGGGAACGAAATAAAAATCTTCAACTACTCCTTTGCCACAGGGAGCAGACCGGCTGCCTTGCCCGGCCGGGAAGGCTGTGTGCAGCAGGAGGCGGCGGCGAACCGCGCGGGGGAGGAGCGGAAAGCGGCCGTTCACTTGAAATTGCCTGCTGCTGCTGCCCATGTGCCGGTCGCCCAAGCCCAAGCCGGTCCGTCTCTAGGGAGAGAGTTTCGTTTCGGAGGCTGAAGATCGCTGCAGATGATCGTCTGTATTTCATGCACCAAGGCATCTCGCACTCGCCGCCTTTTTTCCCATCCGAACCCCATCCCGTTCATGCGGCTGCCCATCGGCTGGTGGAGTTCGTCTGGGGAAAGGAAGGGAGGGAGGGCAATGCTGCTGGCCACGGCTCGGCCCTCTGGGCGTGTGGTGTCTTGCATTGCTTTTTGTTTCTTGGTCGTGTTTAGGCGAGCGCGCTTTGGTGGGTGCGATGCGAGTTTCCTAGGCGCTCGCGCGCAATGCAGGCTCGCAAGAATTCCCGAGCTGATAACCTGCCCACATAAGTAGGTAGAAGAGATGCATCTGAATTGTCCAGCTTCTCGCAAGCATCGCCGGGAAGTCTTCTGCAAGTCGATCCCAGATCTCGCCCTGCGGTGCACGGGCGCCACATGTACATACGATACTGTACAGCAAGCACGGTTCAATACAGCTGTGCACCAATGCGAGCTGACGGGTTCGTCATCTTCGGTGCGCATCGACAGACGGGGCGGGCTTTGAAGCCACAGCACACACAGCTGGTCACAGCAGTCCTGTGCGGACAGAAGAACGCTGTCAGGGCAGGCACTCAAGCCCCAAGAGGACACATTCGTGTCTTGTTCGTCTCTTCTCTCTCTTGCTTTTCTGACAGGTCAGGTCTTACAGCAGCGCCACCAGACCCCGGCGATGGGCTGCGACAGTTTCAAGCGATTTCTAGTGATTTCTCTGTCGCCAGCTTGGCCTTGGCTGTGATGCCGCAGCCTGTAACAGTAGCTATAGCAAATCCAGATTGCCGCCGAACCATCTTCTCGGCAGGCGAGAGGAACTGTGAGCGGTGATCGGGAAGATGCGAGAGCGTGTTTGATTTGTTCGAACCACACAAGCCAATCGAGCAGGCATGAACGAGGGAGAGACAGCCAGCGAGAAGAGGCATCAGGTATCTATCTCCATGCCGTTAGTCAAGCGACGGGGCTGGGGCCGGGGGAGATAGAGTTGCGATAGAGTTTGAGATTGGGGGGGAGGGTGATGGGTTGATAGGTCCGAGGCGATTGGATGTTTGCACGGAGGGTTTTTCTTGGTGCCGAACCTCAAAGGACGGACCCCAGACCAAGAGACCAGGAGGACCAGGCGAGGCGGGCCAGGCCAGGCCAGGCCAGGACAGGACAGGACAGGACTCACTCAACAGCAAGGGACACAGGGACACAGGGACACACGCAACGCAACGTAGACGTCCACTCTTGGCGGGCCGAGCCCTCCGCCAGAGGGAGCTCGAAGACGGTCGGGCCCACCGCGGCTGCAACCCTGCCCCCAGCAGTCTGGGGAATCAAGGCGGCACTTGCTGGATGAAGCCTTTTTTTTTGCTGTCTGTTTAATCCAATCCTCCTTGATTGGCATCATACCATCAACGCTTTCTGCCCTCTTGGCCCTGTTAGATTCTGGGTGAAACCCACACACCAAGTCTCATGATGCCCTCACTGCCTCAGTCCCATCCTTGACTAGAGCAAGCTCGAGCATGTCATGTCATGTCTTGTCAGGTCATGTTATGCGCGCTTGAAGCCAAAGGAAAAGGAGAAAAAGTCTCGTCCTCAGAGTTCACCTCACCATCCTCGGCACTCGCCAGCCTGCCAGCCTGCCAGCCCAAGCTCGCCTTGTCAAGACGCCCGATCGGGAATTGGATTTGCCCCATGACTCTGACTCGGTGCCGGGATGCGAGATAGACTTTCTCTTTGACGATGCAGTAAGCAGCGGAGACGGCTGCTCAGTCGCACATCACACCGCAACCCAACTCAAAATCTACTCAAATCTATCCAACTTTGCTCATCCCAGCCAGGCAGCCCAGGCAGCCCAGGCAGCCCAGTCAGCCTTCCCGTCAGATCCAAGCGGCAGTCAGGGATCGCGACAGATGCTTGCCCGGCTACGCTATACACGGGCCAGGCCTTCCATCATCATCGCCCCTCCCCCATCCCCCCAAGATACGAGGAGTCTGCACCCAACCGGTATGCAATCCAAAGACGTCCACCACTGCTACCAATTCCTCGCATAAAAACAAATGTAGGTAGGGCTGAGGAGCACGACGTATGACTCGCGCGGATCGGGACGCCGATGCAGGACAGGGAAAACCACCGAGGGACCAAGTAAACCCTCCCCTCCCCCTACCAGCACCTTGAAAAAGAAAATATCGGCCGAGCTTAATGGGGTGCGGGTACGCTTATCGAGATTGTGATCTCGATATTACACTTCGCTCTTGGGCCCTACCCATGTTTCACGCCCGAACTATAATATCAATCGTGTGGGAACTTCTCCCCCCCCCCCCTCCACACTAACTGCCCTCGTATCGATCAATCGCCCGACTGCCGGCCCACACCCACCAAGGGCCAGATGCTGTAGATCATCAGACTGCTTAGACAGATTTGGACTGTTGCCAGACCGGTATGTGGCTCTGCCCCACGGCCTTTGCCGGCCTGGTATCCCATGCCATCCGTAAGCATTTTTCAAGGCCGATCCCAATCGTCCGTGTCCAGCGCTCTAGGGTGCTTCGTTACGTCTTTCCCATTACGGTCTTCTTCCCAATCTCTGGCGCAAACGTTATACGGGTACCGGGGGAAAATGCTGTTGCCAGCCATGACCCAGTGAACATCGTTGGGTTCGTCAGTCAGTCAGTCAGTCGGTCCTGACAGGTTTTCGGGGGCGCACGGACGGTAGGCAGTGGGGAGACAGATCCAATCTGTCGAATCTTGCAGCTGTCACAGCCCTCTCGGACTGGGGGGGTTTGATGCCCCGGCTGGGCCGTTTGATCTGATGGCTCTCATCTTACGATTTTCTTCTGATAAGTCGGCATTATAGAGGGTGCGCCATAGCATGAGAGAGAGACATACAGACAGACACCCCCACCACACACACACACACACACACACACAAAAAGGGAAAAATTCAAGTCCCGAAAGGCGTGACGTAGGATGTAGGCTAGCCGGAGCTAAGGCACGGTCGATAGTCAGCTGTTGGGTATTAGACTATGTGTGCGTCCGATGTTGGCTGTCAGAGATGGGCCACATGGGAAGCTGAAAGGGGTGGGCGAGAGGGCCAGCGCCCAACTCATGCAACCTCAATATGTGTATCATCCAATAGCCTTGTTAACCTGCCCTGCCCTGCCTACGTCTTCGTTGCAGGTACTAGGCTGTGGCGTCGCTTGTCACAACACCTCCCCGGCGCGATCGCTGCATGGAGGGAGAGGGAGAGAGGGTGGGGTGGGTGGATGGATGGGTTAGATTCGCGCTGATCGATTTGACGAGTGAACATTTATCCCTATTTTTTCCTGCCTTGTCGCCGACTATCTATGTGTGCAAAGACTGAACAATGGATTTTTTTTGGGGGGGGCGGGGGGGCATATTTACACACAGCGCGGATATACTTCCACAGTCTCACCTCAACACACACAACCTCTGGCCTTCATCTCGTGGTTGACACTAGCGGCGATTTGGTGCGCGTCCAGATCTCTAGCCTGCCCAGAAAAGAGAAACAGGAAAAGGAAAGGGGAAGGCAAAAACAAAAGAGGCTAACTCCCGACCCACCAACTAGCCCCCGGCCATCGCGCCGTCTGACATCCCCTTAGCTCGGCCCCGGGAGATCGATCTGGTTCCGTCCCGTCGTCAGTAGCGCGCGTATGTGTGTGTGTGCGTGTGTGTGTGTGTGTTCCCCCACCCACCACCGTCAGAATCAGGCAAACGATGCGCGAGTCGCTGTTTGTCCTCATGGTCGCTGGGACGAAATCGACGCCATCCCAGCGTTCGGCAGATGGACTAGATCTCTTGGCCGTCATCATTGGGCAGAGTTCCGTCCCGTGTCGCGCCTGTTGTCATCACTGGCTTGAATTGGCATTGCGGAGAGGGTGGTTTGTTTCAGTCTACAAGGCAATTACTGAATAACGCTTGTGGATCATGATGGTCTCTCTTGTGTTGCAATGCCGGGTAGGCGGTGCCTTGGGGGGTTGATTTATATCGCTCTACCAAAAATTGATGATGATGAAGACGACGATGATGATAGATACATGCCTCCTCCCAAGGGGGCACATCAGCAAATAAAAAAAGCACTAGGCACACCCTCTTACCCCACACATCCCAAAATCAAACAGCCCCATGACGTCTGAACATCATGTAGAGCAGCTCTCACAAAACGCCTCGGACATGCCAGTATATACCCAGAAAAAGAAATCAACCTCGCGGCAGTCGGTCCGGTCCCAAGGGCTCAGATCTGACGGACTCTGCTGATGTATTTACAAAATCCTCCCCGGTGTCGTGGAAAACAAGAATGTACTGATCGGATGTTGTTGCGTATCCTTCGTGTCCGACCTGATATATTTGGGTATAAAATGAGACATTGTGTGAGATGATGTAGGCGTTTTCCTCCCAACCCCTCCCATTTGCAAAACGTGACCTATTCCTTTTCCTTTTTCTTCGAGATGCCTCCGCCCTGGATAGCGATCGTGCCTGGCACAATTTACCAGAAAATGCTGTAAATTTCGGCGACTTTTTGAAACCGCGACTGCAAAAGATGTTGGCGCATACATGGTGTGCGTGGACTTCGTAATGGCTCTTGTCCCGTTAGGCCCGCTCGTTTTTCGAGCCCGGCGTCTATCAGGGCTGCCCCTGGTAACTAAAACCCGTCTCGCGCAAGCTAGCCTCTTTCAACCGACGGCCTAGGGCGGATGTTCTTGGCGTCGATTTGTTTCTTTCTCTCCAGTTTGGCGTAGTGCAGGCCGCACGCGTTGCAAAGCGTTCGCGCGCCGTCGGGTCCACGGCGCCACTCAGGTGTGTCGATCCTGTTGCAGCTGTGACATCGGCCAGGAGGAGCGGCACGCTGTCGCATTATTAGTTTACGTTCCTGTTCGGGTCAGGGGCCCGCGTTCGCTTACTCCTCTCCGCTTCTTGACACCGGCCATCTCGTAAGCCGACTTCATGCCGTCGCCATACATGGCCATGTCCTCGTCCTCGTAGGGACCCTTGCCTCGGCTAGCCTCGCGTGCTCGGTCGTTCATCACGACACTCTGCTGGACCATTGTTCGCAGGTTGTCTAGCATCCCGCGCATCCATTCTGCCATGTTCAACATGTCTCCGATCTCGCGTTCTGACGGTAGTCGCGTTGGCATGGGATGGGAGCCAGGGCCTTGCTCTTCCGCAGCACACCGGCCGTAGGCATCTGCAAAGTTGAAAATGGTCCGTGATCCAGATGCAATCTGATCAAGGGTCAGCATTCAGTTCCACGGTTGGCTTGTGCACAGTCCCTTACCTTGGCAAGTGACTCCTGATATTGCCATGCCTCGAAGTGTCTGCTTAGCGTCTGCTCGTACTTGTTTTCCCTCCTCAGGTAATCTGAGTCTTCATGCATCGATGACCGCGAACCATCAAACGGCGAAGGGAGGGAGTGTCCGGGGTATCGGGGAGACATGGGATGTGCTGAAAGGGGCAACTGCCCTGGAGGGAGCTGGCCCTGTTGTGGGTACGGGAGATTTGATTGTTCCGCTGCTGATGGTGGGTAAGAACCATTTAGTCTGTGAGCCTCTGCTTGCCTCTCGGCTGGATGAGACTCGGTCTTCAAAGGTGGCGGAGAGGGTCGTGCCCCTGAATGGAAAGTGTTGACGGGCGCGAGCGCCGGTGGCCTGCTAGATAATGGAGCTCTAGAAGGATCAGAAAATGGGGCCATCGGTTCGCTCCTCGCGGGGAAAGACGCCGGATTGTGTAACGACCTCGGTGACGGATGTTTTTCCTGAGGTGACAGGTCGGCGAAAGGTCGAGATGAGGATGAGGATGTGAAGGGCGACGGCAGACTCGGTGCGCCTTGGACCGATGTCGAGAGCGACGGTGGAAACGCAGACGTTTGTGGTTTCGTGCCTGATATCACCTCTGATATTGATGGCAGCGATTGCCGTTGAGGCTCACTCTCTTCTGGCCTCCTCCTGGGCTCCACGGGGGAGATGATGCCAGGCATGTTTGAGCCAGCAGCCGAGCGAGGATAATTGGATGGGTACGAGGGTTGTTGGGTTTGGTAGTGAGGTGCGGGATTGAGCAAGGTTGCGGTCGCCATAGCCGGACCTTCCCTGAATGGTCTATCCCAAGAGCCTCTGGGCCGGTGGTTGTAAGGGTCAGAGTGGTTGGCAGAAGTGAGACCGCTGAAGCACTTGTGTTAGACAAAGCGAACCAAGAAATATATGGGTAGAGTTTCCACACCTTTGCCTGCCAGCAGTGTTGCCCAATTCCATAACGGGACAGGATCAAGACAGTCGTGTCAACACCCCGGCGCTTGAATACGACGTGCCCAGCTTAATTCATCTGACGGCACAGCGATCCGCGCTGCAGGAGTTCTCAAAGCTTGCAATGACTAAGTGGGCACTGCTTGATCTCGCAACTCGATCCGACTCGATCAAGATGGATACCTGATCTCCGATTGCCGTGGGGTCGATTGGTAAGCTCCAGTGAGAGAGTTCGAACCCGAGCGAGGTTGACCAGGCGAGATAATCACGACTGAGAAGTTCGGAAAATCAGGGACTTGGGAGAGTTTAACGTGGGCGGCGGGCAGCTTCACACACACTCTCTCTCGTGTCAAACACAGAGAGTTTTAGTTCTCAGGGGTGATGTGCTCGCAAAAACGGGAGGTTACGAGCCCGAGAAAGCTTCTCTGGGGCGTCTTCTGGGTGAGGCTCAAGAGCGACTTAGTAGAGGGTGGTGTTGATAGGTTCAGCGCTATCCAGTTCCACGAGTAGTGGGCACCAGCTCGGACCGCAGATTAGCTTTTCGATGAAGCCAACAAGAGATCGTTGCTTGAACCAAGGTGAGTCAGTCGAGCAACAGGCGGTGGGCGCAGGTCCAGATTTTGTCCGGCTGAGATTCCCAGGGCACAGAGGCAGTTAACCTTTCAGGGAATAACGGCTGCGACGTGAGTTGGGAAGGTCCCAGTGGTAGTTCGGGGAGGGACACGAGTTGCGGTCACTAGGATGCGAGAGGAACAGGCAGGTAGTGTGTCTTGGCTCCGCAGATATGCGTGGGTGTTGGCTGTCGCAGGTCGTGAGCACCAAAACAGCGTTTGACTGAAGCGTCGTGTGCGCGGCCGAGGCAGCTCCTTCGAAGGTTTCAGGCGAATCACCACGGGTCGTGCGGGTGGGAAAGTTCGGCCAAGGGATAAAGTCAAAATGGATCTACTGCCGGTCGATGGTGATTGAGAATGCAGCAGCCCGACTCGTATGCGGGCCCCTCTTCCAGGGTCGCGATGGTGCAGAGCAGTTGCAACTCTGACGTAGTCGAGTCGACGCAGCTGAGGACGGCGGGAGCCCAGATTCGGTGAGGCGAGGGGGCGAGAGGCAAGTTATATAAAGACCGTTGCCGAGGTGAGTTGCCACGTGTGGGAAAGGTGCCAGATCCAATTTCAGATCTAGATCCAGATCCAGATCGTATGGGTTTGGTCGTGTGTTTGGTGGACGCCGATGTGGACGGGACAGGTATGTGGAAGGTGAGAGGAGTCGGAGAGGTCAGAGGTGAGGATGGGGCGGGATCGAATCGATAATAATAATAATTACCATTAACTGGTTGGAGAGGGGGGGAGAGGGCGCACTTAGTCCAAGCTGCCTACGAAAAGGATACACGGCTAAGATTTTAATAAACAAGAGGGAAAGACAGGCCTGAGAGACTCGAGAGGTGCGATTTGTCTGGTTTTGGGGCGCTGGGGCAAAGTGCAAGGTCGTCCACCAAGGAACAGATAAAGTCCACGGTACTGTACGGTCGGTCCAGCGCAGTCCACCCTCACCTGGGCAGTTTTGCGGTCCCCATCCCCAGTGGTGCTGGATTTGTATGTACGAGGCAGGGAACCTTTGGAAGGGTACGTACCGAGTACAGATGTACCCTCGGAAGTACTGGCGGGAAAAGGTACATGGCCAATACTCCCGAGCCCACCTGCACCGTAGGCACGCACCACGACACCAACACAGGGGACACAGGGGCCACAGGCGCCTCACCGATGTCCAGAAACCCTGTTCCCTGCTCATGCACATGAGATGTCGATGTGTGGAAAACTGGGGCAATCTCAGAGAAGCAGAAACAAGAAACCCTGCAATGCGCTAGCACCGCGACAGGACAGATTGGCGTGAAGTGGGGGGGGGGCGGTTCTCGCAGGGGGGCCTTTTGGGGGGGAGGGCAAAGATGATCGCTGCTGCTGGCCTCAGCAGTGAGCTGCGCTGCCTTCCCTGTTCCTGTTCCTGGTATCCGTACAGTACATGTTCACGCACTATAGTGCAGGGCTGATTTTATGAACAGGGTTGGGCATGCTGAAGGGGAGGAGCCCTGGCCCTGACCTGAATGCCCTGGAGAGTTAATCATCGTGATCCTCCTCCTCCTCCTCCTCCTCTGTCGTCAGCTCCTTCCCTCTGCCACTGTCTGTCTCTGTGTTGTCGTCGGCCATGTGGGACTTGGCGAGACCTACAAGGTTTTCCCAAGGGTCCTAAGGCCCGTCGCAAGCGGGTCTGGGCACCTGGTACAAAAAGGAGATCCCGATTTGCCCTGCGGGTCCGGCACAGCAGCGGGTGGAAGGTCTCAGTCGCTGCTGCAAGTCAGGCAAGAGTGGTGGTAAGCAAATGTCTGGTGCGGTACGGCGCGTGGTATGCTTCACAGACCAGCCCTGCCTGGTCAGGATTCAAGGCCTTCTGATGATCAGGAGAAACACCACTGAGAGAGGCCCATTGTCGCATCGAGCCAGGCGTAGCCACTAGCGAGCGTTGAACCGGCGCCCAGGGTCACAAACTACGTATCCTCAACAGATGGAACGTAGTTGAGTTTGGCATGGTCGTAGCAGCCCTTCACCCCCTTGGCTACCGTGCTGCCTTGTGTGTGCGGTGAACAGCGGATGGTAGAGATGTTGCGTTGAGATCCGGGGGAGATCGCAAACTTTTCTGCGCCCGAGCTCAAGGCAACATGGCTGTCTGGGCTCGGGCGGAGACAGCTTGCCGCGCGAGTAAGACTCAAGCGAGCGAATGCCTCTGATCTCTGGTCTTTGGTCTCTTCCCGCCTCCCCGTCCACCACCTCTTTTGCCATGCTGCCCTCCTCTGTTACCTCCTGCGCACGAACGTGCAGAGCTTGGGGCGGACAGGGCAAATAGATGTGACGGCCAGGTGGAGGAGAGTGACAACGCAGAGGACGCCCACCCGCAAGTTGCGACTGGGTGGGTGTGTGGGTGGGTGACGACGACAAGACAGAGCCGTCCCCAATCAATGTGATGTTTCGAGACGTTTGAATAACAGGACAGGGCAGAGGGCAGATCACCACAGCACTGTGTCGCAGGCACGTTCTGTCAGACTGTCAGACTGTCAGACTGCGCGCCCACTGACCACGAGGTGGCCACCAGCGGCCGAGTGGCAGACGAGGCGGCTCGTGTCGAATGGACAAGTTGGGAACTATGGCCGAACAGCGTGCCATCGGGTCTAGGGCCCAATCTGGGAGCCGGGACAGTGAGCAGGACAGATCGCTGTACTGTCGATAGTATCTCGATTGCCTAGCATGATAGCAGGGGCCGATATGCAGGAGCGGCAATCTCTCATCTCTCTTGACAAGAAAGTGGTGCCATTTTTTGTGGGTGGCACTGGCATTGGCAATGGATGGCCACGCCCAGGGCCAGCGTCAGGGGACAGGGGCCTGACCAGCGACGTGGTAATTGGATCCGACCCGATGCACGCCTCTCTGACAGCTGGATCGAGGCTGTCAGGGTGTCCGTCTGCACTGCATTGTAAGTGAAGTGGTGGTGGTGTTGGTGGTGTTGGTGGTGGTGAGCAGAAGAGGGTGGGCAGGCCTGCATTGCATTGTAGCCATGTAGAAGTCGATGTACTCGACTATCCAGTCAGCTCTCCTCAGCTCTGCTTGCCCTATCCAGTACTCAGCTAACATGCACCCATGTAACTCTCTGTCGGTGGCCCTTTGAAGATGCAGCAGCAGCAGCAGCAGGACAGCAGGAGCAGCAGCAGAAGCAGGAGGATGCCCTGCAGGACAGTCAGACACTCGTCAAGACTTGCCATCGGCAGTCGTGTGCCATGGCCATGAGGTCTGGACTCAGGCAAGGCATTATTATCTTCGAAAGCCCTTCAGTCCGGGGAGCAGAAAGCGAGGTGGAAAGATTGCTGGTGTCTTTGAGCAGCATCTACCGCGGTTGCTGGTGAGGGAGAAGCGTGCCGCAGGCATTCCATACAACAACATCCCCTCCATCCCTCCATCCATCCGCCACAGCAGGCGGTGGTGGTACGGGTATTCGGCGGGCAAGACTTGTGAGGGAGGGAGGCCACTTGCAAGGAGCGTTTGACCGATCTAGGCAGTGTTGGGCCCATCTGCAGCCCCGATCGGGCTAGCATCTGGATCTCACAGCCGAGCGACCATGACCATGCCCCATGCCCCATGCCCCATGCGCCTCATGCCCATGTTGTGCCGTGCTGTTCTGTTCTGTGCTGTGCTGTGCTATGCTGTGTACTGTGTGTACTGTGCGGTCGAGATCCGGTAGGCTACTATGTACTAGGCACAGAGGCGCTCCGACACGCCCTGAGGACACCGACTTCTCCGGCTGTTCTAGCGCCGTTCCATCTTCGCCTGCGAACCTTGGAACTGATCGAGGCTGACGTCGTTTCTAGGCCCAGCGACAGTGTGTACTGTGTAGAGGAGTCGGTAGACTACGTCTGCCGGAAGCGGTCCGGTAACAGCACAAGTCCTGTTCAGCTTCTCGGGAGCCGGCCAGCGCGGGTTTGGGTTTGGTCGGACAAGGTCTTCCGGCCGACACCTGTGCTGCCGATGATATCTCCAGCCTGGACTTTCGTTGGGCCTCGTTCCGTCGTCGCAGCCAGAATGCTATTATGCCATTGACCTCCCTGCCTGCCTGCTCATGAGCCAAGATTCCACCACACTACGAGTCTGTACCACGATGACCTAAACTTGTCAGCAGCGGTTGTGTCGGGGACAGCCAGGCCGATGATTTCATAGATCGGCAGGGCATGAGCTAAGGCACATCTTCTTTTGTGATCACAGCTTTCAAGCGGCAACAGGAATGCTGCGCCGGGGGCCTTCATCATCTTGAGGCAGGCACGTACCGTCGACCACGACTGCTCACGATGCATGCCATAGTGCCCGCCCTTGGTGCCTGCCCGTGTGAAATGGTGGCTCAAGGCTGCGCCTTCCACACAACGGGCAGCCAACCAGTGCAACCATTCGTCCAGTTTTGCAGCCACCCGCTCCTGCTCA